AAGGGAAAGTAAAAAGGTAGTGATTTCTTAAAAAATTAAAAATAGAATTACTATATGATCCAGCAATTTCACTTCTGAATGTAATATACATGTATGCGTATTGTGTGCATTTAACAAGAGTGTCATGACCATTCAATGGATAAAGGGCATTCTTTTCAATAAATGTTGCAGGGGAAAAYAAATATCAATGTGCAAAAGAATGAAATTGGACCCTTACCTTACACAATATACACAGACACACACATACACATGCACAATAGAACGGAAAGTAGGGTACCAAAAAGTATCTGTATACCTACATTCAGAGTATTATTCAGAACGGTCAAAAAGATGGAAGAAACCCAAATATCCATCAACAGATGAATGGATAGTATGTTAAATACAAAGAACGTTATATTATTTAGCCTTAAAAAGTAGATTCTGACACAGTTACATGGATGAACCTTCAGGACATTTTATTAAATGAAATAAGATAGTCACAGAAARAAAAATACTCAATGATAACACTTTCAGAAATACTTAGAACAGCAAAATTCAAAGAGATAGAATGGTGGTTGCCAGGAACTCAGAATGGGACTACTAGAGAGTTGTTTAATGGTTATAAAGTTTTGGTTTTGCAAGATCAAAAGAATTCTGGAGATTAGTTTGTACAACCAGGTGAATATATTTAGCACTAAAATATATACACACATACACACTCACATAGAATCAGACATTTTGTTCTATCATATAAATAAGATACACAAAACTTTAAGACATAAAATCAATTAACAAATATATGTAGCTTTAAAATCCTCACCTGGTTTTTTTGTGTTAACTCATGAACTGAACCTTTAAGGTTTTGTAATTCCTGCACATATACAGCAACTTCCTGGGGACCTTTGGCAAGTTCACTCCTTAACTGGCTTATTGTAGCCTAAAAAAATAAAATAAAAATTAGAGCAAACTAAATTTAAAAAGGAAAGAGAAGTACACAAAGGTTTTAAGATTATCAATTTTTTGTTGTTGTAGTAGTTAAATTGAAATAACACTTGGAACCTTCAAGTTGATTCTTTGTCCTACCACCCTCACAATAACATCACATTATTTTGGGCTTGAAATTAAATTTAAAATTTTATCTAACATGTACAACACCGTTTATCTAATAATACACAAAATGAAACGTTGTCTGAGGTAAGCATCAAACAACAAACTTCAGTTCACTGGTATGGAAACTCTGTACTTCAATCCTCTTGAATTTAAAGAGGATAAGCAAGTTATGTCTACGTTTTTCCTAATTTCAATAACATGAGCTTTTCCTTTTAAAACAAGTAAATATAAAGCATGAACATATAATAATATAAGAGAAAGTTAGTTAAACAAAGATCCTGAAAATATAAACTTTCTATATACTAAAGCTCAACCATTTGAAAGACCACCTACTGCTTGGTTTCCTGAAAATGATATTAACAAAAGAAATCTGTATTTCTTGTAATGCTTGCTAGTTTTACTTTTCACATTCTTAAAGTTTGTTATTTTCATTGTCTCTATTCTTTATCACTGAATAAACTTTATAATAAGGATGAGACATATTTAAATTGAGATTTTGMTTGTGAGGGAGGAGAAGAAAGTGAGTCATAGACTTTCCCTTTTCCTATTGTAAATTATGAATCATTTTAATCTTTTACAATGATGATGTGACATGTTTATATTTGGGGAAAAAATAAACCTAAAAAAGACAAAAATGTCAAAGGAAATAAAATACACTCTTCTTTCAACTTCCCCATGAGTAAAATTCAAACATCTCTGCCCTTGCCACCTTAACTTTTCTTCCCACTTAACAGGCCAACCTCCTTGGTACCTTGGACTTCACTTAGAACATGCCATAACTTCTCAGGAATCCTCACTCCCAAGGCTGCACCCTCATTCTTATTTACTCCTTCTCACTCATATCCTCCTTGAGATGGTCCCTGACCATTCTAAAACTGCCCCATGTTATTCCTAATTTCCCTACTGCCCATATCCTGCATTTTCCCCCTTCTTCATAGCACATGTTCATTACTTGTCTATAATGATTGGTTTACTTAGATATTGTTTGACTTTCACAAAAGAATATCAACCTTATGAGAGCAGACATTAACTTATTCAGTGTTATATTCCCCACACCTAAAATACTTCCTGCCACTTAGCATGAATCCAAAMAATACTTCCAAAAGGAATGAGTCATTATACCTCCAAAGATTTAGTAGATATTTATTCCCATTGAAACAGTATAWTAGTCCCTATAAAATAGTTTGCAGTTCCTTGATGCTATATTATTCAACATTAAATTTTTACTAAAATCTTTAAATTACAAAATGATTAAGAAACATTTCAAACAAACTTTCTGCTCATTGTTTTAGAATTAAAATTATGTGTTTACTACTATAAGTAATCATTTTACATTGGTTGAAATTTTGCTGATTAACAAAACAAAAACAAGCATGTCTTTGAAGATATGAGATTGCCTTAAAACACAAAACTGCCATATGACAATACAAAGTTAGGTTAGCACTAATATCAAAAAGCCTTCCATAAACACATTACCTCAAATTTAAGCATCTCCATTAGAAAGCACAAAAAAATAATAAAATGATGGATGAAATGTGGAACACAAGACTGACAAAATTATACATTGAATACACAATAAAAAATGTCCAAACATACCTTAAAAACTGATATCTTAAATTAGCATACTTAAAAATATTTAAATACTCTTTTTAATAGCTAAAACATAAACAGTTATTCCATACCTATATAAACATTCTTACTCTTAAAACTAAGATGTAAATGAGTTTATTTGAAAGACAGATAAAATTCAGTTGAAAACCTTTAGAATAAAAAAATATGCTTTTAAAAATATAAATACAAAGTCAACTAATTMTCAAGGTATATGTCCAATTAAAGTAATAAACCTAAAGACATTTAATAATGTACACTACATTATATATCTTCAGCCCCAACTAGTAATACTAGTCAAATAAATCCTTACATCTTTGGCTTCTTGAATTTCTGTTAATCTGTTTGTTTCTGATGCCAATTCTGAGATTCAGTAAAAGCAATGCCCATAATAAAAATTTTTCTCCTAAATTCTTTAAATGCATAATGACCAACCCACTTGAGAACAAATAGGACTGAATTTTAATAAATTAAAAAATATATGACACATAGTCAAAGTAGAAACTAAAAAAAAATGGAGTTATAAACAAATAAGTGAGATGAAGCAATTAGACAATAATTTTTCATATGCAAATGAAGTAAAATACAGCTCAAAAATATTTTAAGCTATTACTCAACACAAATATTACAACATAGAATTTTGCAAAAAAAAATTTAAAGTAATAATAATGAATATTAGGACAAGGTTGATGGTACAATTTTGCTTATAAGGCAAACATCAAGCCTCCTAAAATAGGAGACAATGTACTACAGGCTTTGGATGATACCTGGTTTAAAACCCTAGTTTCTTTATATTAGGTACATGACTATGAACAAGTTACTTAACCTAACTGAGCTTTAGGCTCCTTTGTGTAAAACAGATTAATACTTAACTAAATGGGGTTTTAAGAAACAAATGAAACCACATTTGTTAAAGTGCCCAACATGGTATCTAAAATCTAGTGATGCTCAAAGAGTTCAATTCTAATAGTAATATTAGCCTGAAAGATACTACCACTTCTTAAAGTTATTACAAATATTTTAACATTGCCTGAGGTCTCATTCCTCATTATGTACCCATTACTAAGTAAGTAAAGAATAAATATCTTCTTTTGTTTCACGGAAAATATAGTGAAATATTAAATTACCTATTCAAGTACTTGGCAAGACTAAATTTATTTTAAATACCTGAAATGAAAACTTTTTATGAAAACTTCAACAAAGTTAATAAGTAAAACAATTGAGGCCAGGGTTGTAGCTCAGTGGTAGAGCACTTGCTTAGCATGCATGAGGCACTGGGTTTGTTCCCYGACACCACAYAGAAATAAACAAATAAAATAAAGGTATTGTGTCCATCTACAAYTGAAAAAAAAAATTCAAAAACAGAAGAAGAAGTAAAACAATTGATTTTAAGCCATTATCCTTCTTTCCCAGAAACATCTTTTCTATAAAAACAAAACAAATATATTCTTTCCTTCAGTTAGGCCTCCTTTAGGATAAAGGGAGACACTGAATTCTTTCACATTCAAATCTTTTATAACTCTAGTCATAACTTTTTCATTTTAAATGATCTTCTTTTTGCCTTTYAGATAATTTAATCTAAATGAATAAAAACATAAGTTTGTTTAAAATAGTACCAAATTAAACTTATAATAATTCTTAAAGTATTTTTCAGGAATATTTTCTCATTACCAAGTTATGTAAGTTTCTGCATATATTTTTACAAATGGAACTAAATATATAAATTTCTTTTCCTTGTTAATATTCTTACTTATCAAGTATATGTATAACTCCATAACTCTCAGCTGGGAAAGGTCTTGTGCTCTAAAAGCAACAACATTTATTTTAAAATTTTAATAATATTTAAAGAAAATTATAAATCAAAAGAGAGTAAAAGATTTTTTTTTAATTTGAAAATACCAGAAGGCAGGCAGATCTAATAAAAATAATTCATATTCGTAGGGCACAGTGGCGATGCCTGTGATCCCAGGGGCTCGGAAGCTGAGACAGTAGGTTCCCAAATTCAAAGTCARTCTCAGCAACTTAGGCTAGTTTTATAAGATAAAAGTAAAACATATATGACTGTCAGACCACTATAACTATACACAAATAATTTTCATATCAATAAAGCAAATAGTATTTTGAAAAGCCACTTGGAAAAATCTCAAATCTTGGTTTTATTCAACAGTATGCACTATCTAAGCTAGTATCATTACCTCTGAGTTAGCATATTCTACTTGTAACTTTTTGCACTCATCTTTGAGTTTTTCAGATTCTCTCTCACGCTCCAAGGTCATATTATCCATTAGCGTTTGAACTTGGACCAATTCTTTCTTTAGCACAGCAACATCTTCTATACCAGGTCTCTGAAGCTGTGAAGTTACACATTTTAATTAAAAATTACAGTAAAAAACTAAAATAATATACATTTTTAGAATGAATTTACTAAAAAGAAATCAAAATGAAGATAATCTTATCARTTTTTGGACTCTGAAAATTAAACACTGATATCTCTCTCCTAATAAGCCACCTCCTCTTCTCACTCTCTTGCATTTAACAATATTACTGAAGGTACAATCTAGCAAATTCACAATTATCTTTAGTTCTTCATTTGCTTTCCTTTCCTTCACAAAAAGCATACATTGGAAATAACAACAACTTGGTAAATGCTACATGCCTTATTTTTTCTATCCTAGGAAACTGGTAATWAAAATGAAAAAGGAACATAGCTCAGTGGTTCAGCAATTGTCTGGCGTTCTTAAGGCCCTGTGTAGTACTGTGTAGTCCCCGGTACTACAACAACCAAAAAAAGGGAACAGATGTAAGAACAAGTAGGGTTTATAGCAGGTTGCATATAGTTGATTCATTTACCCATATATTTATTGGGTGCTAAATTAAGGAACAAAGAAGTCTAGGATAGATTCAAGATTGTTAGCCAGCTGTGGTGACGCACACCTGTAATCCCAGCAACTCAGGAGGCTGAGGCAGGAGGATCACCAGTTCAAAGCCAGCCTCAGCAACTCAGCAAGACCCTCTCTCTAAATAAAATACAAAACAGGGCTGGGGATATTGCCCAGTGGTTAAGGGCCCCTGAGTTCAATCCCCGGTTCAAAAAAAAAAAAAAAAATGATTTTTAAGCCTGGGAAGGGTGTTGAAATCTGGTATCAGTGACAGAAACACAGTCATGAAAGAAATATAATGACTTGGATTTTGGATTTCATACTTGTTGGGTTAAAAAATTCAGCTAGAAATTCAACTGATAGGATCCCCAAAGCAGGTGATTTTATAAAACTGAAGTACAAGGGAGCCAGGCATGGTGACATATGCCTGTAATCCCAGTGATCTGAGAGGCTGAGACAAGACGTTCACAAATTTGAGGCACCTTAGCCTGGCAACTTAGCAAGAACCAGACTCAAAATAAAAAATAAAGAGGTTATAGCTCAGTGATAGAGCGCTTGCCTGGCACATGCGAGGCACTGGGTTTGATCCTCAACATCACATAAAAATAAATGAATAAAATAAAGGCATGTGTCCATCTACAACTRAAAATATAAAAAATAAATAAACAGGTCTGAGGATATGGCTCAGTGGGAGAGCACCCCTGGGTTAAACCCCTGAACTGCAATAAAATAAATTTTTTTWAAAAAATTTGGGAAGGAATGTCAGGATCAAATATGTAAATATGAAAAATACTTTWAAAAGACATTATATTTAGATAGAAACAACAAAAATGTTCAGGTAATGTTATATATCATAACATTTTTATTTTAAAAAATCACATGTAGTATACATATGTAGGTGGAGAGTATAGGGAATTTTTATTTCCTCCAGTTTACTCAAAACTTTTTTTTTACRTTTCAGATATTATTATTTTAATATTCACAATAATATCCAAATTATTTCAATTTTCACATTTCAATGGAATGACTATATCTGTACATGTATTTGTTTCTCCACCTACTGCCTTCACAAAATTACAATGGCTTAAAATTTTAAAACATCCAATTGATAATTTTTAAGACAAAGAACATATATTAAAAACCACACAGAAAACAAAGGAAAATAGATGTGTTAGAAAAAGGAATTAGATGATGTCCTTAACTAAACACTGAAAAAAAAATAATATTGAAGAGAGGTAACAAAACTTTAAAAAAAAAAATATTTCTTCAGCTGGGTGTGCCTACTGTAATCCCAGCAGCTCAGGAGGCTAAGGCAGGAGGATCATGAGTCAAAGCCAGCCTCAGCAATGGCTAGGTACTTAGCAACTCAGTGAGACYCTGTCTCCAAATAAAATACAAAAAAGGGCTGGGGATGTGGCTCAACGGTCAGTGGTCGAATGCCCTTGATTTCAAACGCTGGTACCAAAAAATGATATTTCTTCAGAGTATATATATTTCTAAACTTTAATTTAGAAATTTCAAGAACTATTTCCTCACAGTACATTTTAATTTAGAAAGATATTTTTAAAAATACATTCCAATAAATGGTTTCTAAATTACCAGTTCAGTCTTCAGATCTTGAATTGCAGTTGCCTCTTTGTTTAATTCTTCTGTCAAAAGTGTTACTTTTTGTTCTGCAGCCTCTCGAAGGCTCCTTTCCTCATCATATTTTGACTTTATATCTAAATAAAGATGGTAATAAAAATTAGTTTCATGACATTATCTCTGAAAAAAAAGAATTTTTATAAATCCCTGTATATTACTCTGCATATCTGTATTTCACTCTAATTTCAATTAACATGCTTTAAATAGATATAAATATACACAGTAAAATTATACTTATGATTACATAAATGATGAGCTTAAAATAGTAAAATGATTTTGTCTACATACATTCCCCCCAACACTACTACTAATTAGGCATTTTAAAGAATAGTTAGTCACATATAATATTTTACCTAAAAGCATATACTTTAAAAAATACATAGTATGAGCAGGGCATAGTAGCACACACCTGTTAATCCCAGAAACTTAGGAGACTTAGGTAGGTGAATTGCAAGATTGAGAACAGCCTCAAGAACTTAGAGAGACCCAGTCTCAAAATTTAAAAATTTAAAAAAAAAAAAAGTCTAGGAAAGTAACTCAGTAGTAAAGCATCCCTGGGTTCAATCCCCAGTAGAAGAAAAAAGAAAAAAAAATATCTTCTTTAAATTTCAAGAATAAATTACAAAGGAAAGCCTTTTGAAGGGAGAAGGTGAGAGAACAATCATTTATAAAACAACTATGATATTAAATTCCATTCATAACCACCATAGTCTATAACAAATCCTTTATCACACTGAAATATTATTTTTTTCCTAGGATATATAATGGTGAAAACGTAATGAGGCTGATTTATTAGCTAAAAAATTCTGATTCAATTTACCTGCAATTTCAGTTGCAAGTTGGGCTGCTTTCTGTTCAAATAAATCTTTCATTTGCTTAATATTAAAATTTTCTGTTTGAGCCTCTTCTAATTGTTGTTCCAAAGACTGTAGTTCTACCATATACAAAAAAAAAAGGGTAGCCATTATTTAAATACAATGTTAATTACATATACTAAATATTATTACTTATATCATAATCACTGTCATAGTAAAGACAATCAACATGAGTTTATTATGTAATTATAAGTAGAGTATTTTCATATTTCAAGAATTAAGTACATCTGATTCATTGATGGTACAAATCATAATGTATAAACATAAAACAAGTCAAAGAAATACTTAATCACCTCCAAATAATCTATAAATATTTGTTGTAAATCTATAAATATTTAAAAGTTATATTGACTTCATATTTCATAGTAATTTTCTTATATCCATCAAATGGCCAGATGTAACATATCCTGCTCTTCTGAAAAAAAGTAGCTTTAAAGTAAGATAAAATTAAGTGGTTAAGAACATCCAGGTTTTAAAAAAAAATAATCAGTTTAAGCATGCAGTCAATCTAATATTACTTCATTCTCATCAAAAAGAGATTTCATAAATATAATAGCTAATCTCAATTAGTCACTGAGCATTCCTCCACATAAAGATAGTTACAAAGATGCTAGTGCCATCAATTTGCTTGGAGGGACAAAGACTGTATAACTCCTTCACATAGACTTCAATTTTCATTAAACAATCATATTGATATAATACTCCAGRAAGTTATTTCTAGTTAACTAAATTATTAAGTACACAGATAACTTTCTAAGTCTAGAATGTGACSGTAAACAGAATATGTTTCAGAGCTACAAAGGACAACCACAAAATTCCTTTAGCAAGCATCAAAGGAGAGGAAGGAAAAAAAAGGATAAGAAAGAAGAAAAAGAAAAATGAAAAACTATCTATTCTAAGTAAAGTTACCTGCTGATGAATCAGCCACCAATCCATCAGGTTTAGCCTCCTCAATGAAAACAAAAGACAAACAAATACATTAAAAGAAGACAATACTGTATATTGCCAATGTTAAAAATCTCCAAAAGCTACATGTCAGGTCAAGTAGCAAGATTCTGGTAAAAATTAAAGTCCTTATTCTTCCAGATCTATAAGTGCCATTGGCCGACTAACATAATGACCTACCTGTAGTTCACCAGTTATAAGACAGAATATTTCGAATGTTAATATATATGAAACTGTAATGAATCTGACAATAGATAGCATCCTAAATTAGTAATAAATAAATAGGACTTACCCTTCCCTCCAAATGTGACAATTAACTTTTCACACCCCATATGTGACCTCAACTACTGGACTTCAAAATATATAAATCTATGAGTTTGATAGACATTTTGACAGCTTAGGCCACAGCAGACAGCACTCTCCAAGATCAACAGCTCAAACTGTCACAGGTCCACACCCTGTTAGCCTTTGAACTTTAAAGTCTCATCCATCAACACTTGCACTGTCCCCTTGCTGCAAGAAAYCCAGTCATTGCAGATCTCTATATTGGAAAGAATCACTCCCAAGACAATGCTCATAAACCTTTATCTTAAATTTTAACTAGACTTAACTTCCTATAGACACCTGTTTTCATCATAATTGAGCAATCAGACATTAAAAATTTAGGATCTTACTCACTGTGATTAATGTATCTCATCTACTATTTCCTGTGAAATGTGTTGACATATTTCCCCCCCTCTTTAAACACTACGAACCTAAGAAAAAAATTTTTATATGGCCATAAAATGTTTGATTCATGAAATCATACCAAATCATCTCCTTTAACCACAAAAAACATCTATAATATTTGAAAATTAACATAAGCCAAATATGTCATCAAACTATCATCACTAAAAATATTGGATTTAGGGGCAGGGGGCATAACTCAATGGAGAACAATTGCCTAGCATGCACAGGGCCCTGGGTTTGATCCCAAAGGTTAAAAAAAGGGGAGTTGGGGGTGCTTAGGGCTGGGTATATAGCTTGCTTTCATAAGGCCCTGGGTTCAATCCCCAGCACCACAAAAAGAAAAAGGAAAAAAAAGAAAGGTTCTAAAAGCATAGTTTTAATTTAATAAATCATTTTTAAAAAGAAACAGAAATAAAGAATATATGCCTTAAAGTGTAAGTTACCTCAGGAATTAGGAGTAAAATAATATACTACCTTGGCATTATTTTCATACTTCAAAGAATTACATGCATCTCAAAGATTTTAATAAGGTATTTTCTAGTAAAGCTTTTTGTTTTCCTATRTATTCAATTCATACATATTGATTACTATGAACTATTTTTTCTAAGTTAAATTTTCTATCAAGGTAATTTTTTATCTTATACTGTGGAAAATTTATTTAAATCTATTAAYTGCATAATAGTCAACTCAAATATAGTAAAATAATTCTCCTCTCTCTTTTCAGGTATAAAAAATAATATATCCCATGTTTGATTAGTAAGTAAAAATATTTTAGATTACTAAAAATCCCTTTAAATAGTAATAAAACCGATATTTTGTTAGTCACTTATTTGTTTCTCTTTCATAGTTCAAATGACAATTCTTAGTGCAAAGACTAAAAGGCAAGAAAAAAACCTAATTGGAAGTCACAACATGCTTAGATAATATATACAGATATTACTATTACTTTATGAAAATATTATAAATATTGATGAAGAATGTCTACTTTATTCTAACAAATAAAAACTATATACGAATTTGGAAAAATTCATTATTCTATGATGCTTCCCATAATGGTAGTATAATAGCAATATAATTTTAGCATAAAAATCATTTTGTTAAGTCACTTAAAAACAACTTACAAATAACTGCTTTTGATGCCACCATGATTTTCTTCTGGTTTTTCCTATGTACTATTGTTATGTAGTTAAATTCATACAGTATAATATACAGTCACATATAAAACATGCCAGTCAATTATGGACTACATATATAACAGTGGTTCCATAAAAATATAATGGAACTCAAATTTTTTATCATCTAGTGACTTTGTAGGTTATGTAATATCAAAATACAATGCATTTCCCATGTGTTGTTTTAATGCTGGTATAAACAAATTTACTATGCTGCCAGTTATATAAAAGTATAGTATATACAATTATATACAGTACTTAACACTTGATAATGAAGATAAGTGATTATTACTAGTTTATATAATTACTACACTGTACTTTTGTTGTCATTTTAGAGTCTACTTTCCACTTTAAAAAWATATATATACAGTAATATAGAACCAAGCAGGAAAAAAAAATACAGTAATATAGAGCCAAGCAGTTCCTTCAGGAAGAATTCCCAAAGAATGCACTATTACATGAGAGGAGAGAGACACATGTGTCACTGCCCCTGAGAACCTTCTCTATGAAACAACATATAGAAGACAGTGTCACTGATGCTGCTGCCCCTGGTAAGCCAAGGCTACCTGTGTCTTCATTTTTAACAAAAAAGTTTAAAGGCTAAAAAAGTTTAAAACTTAAAAAAAGCCTTACAGAATAAAGAACAAATACAATGTGTTTGTATTTTAAGCTGTTACTATATGAGTCAAAAAGTTTACAAAATGAATAGTTACAGTAAGTTAATGTATTATTGAAGAAAATTATTTTTGTAAACTTTAATGTGMCCTAAGTGTTTACAGAGTCAACAGTAGTATATAGTAATGTCCTAGATCTTCAGATTCACTTGCCACTTAGTTGCTGACGCACCAGAGCAACGTTCAGTACTGTAAGTTCAATTCATACAAGGCAAGGGGTCTATATACACATATCACTATTCGTCTTCTATACCTTATTCCATATTTTCATTCATCTTCTATACCATATTCCATATTCTTACTATATCTTTTCTGTTCACATACACAAATGTCTTTTGTGTGTATGTGTGTGTATGGTGCTAGAGATGGAATCCATGGCCTTGTGCATGTGAGGCAAGCATTCTGCCAACTGAGCTATATCCCCAGCCCCACAAATGCCATTTTGTTAAAATTATTTACAGTAGTCAATACAACAACATGCTGTATAAGTGTATAGCCTAAGAGSAATAGGCTGTACCATATAGCCCATCCTGCCCTTGTGTATGTGCCTTTTATTATGTTTGCACAATGACAAAATCACCAAACAACACATTTCTCAGAATGTATCCCCACTATTGACAAAGGACTGTATGTGTACATGAGCATGTGTGTACCCATATAGATCTTTATTCAGTTTTTTAAAACCTAACGTTGTTAGTAGAACAACTTTCTCATGTTTTAAATCAATCTTCACAAACATAAAATATAAACAAATTTCCTTTCAACAGACATTGTACTTATTTCCCATTTGTCACAAACACAAATGCTTGGAGGAGATTCATTACTGTTTGAACTTATATTTTTAACCATTTAAGTATATTGCCAGAAAAATAAAATAAGCCCAACATAAAAAAAAGTTACATAGGTGGGGCTAGAGTTCTGGCTCAGTTGTAGAGCACTTGTCTAGCATGYGTGAAGCACTGGGCTCAATCCCTGGCACCACATAAAAAAATAAATAAAATAAAATAAAAATATAAATAATAAAAATAAATAAAAACATATAAAATAAAGGTATTAGCTGGGGCTATGGCTCAGTGGTAGAGCGCTTGCCTAGCATGTGTGAGGCACTGAGTTCTGATTCCCAGCACCACATATAAATAAATAAAATAAAGGTCCATTGACAACTAAAAAATATTTTTTAAACTAAMTAAATAAATAAAGGTATTTAAAAAAAGAGATACATAGGTAACTTATTCTTAGTAACATCTTTAAGAAGTTACATCTTCACTTCTCATATTCTTATTTTCATTCATTAGAAATATAAAGAATATATTGCAGGCTATTAAACACAGAAATGAATTAGAAAGCTATTTATATCAGACCACTTACTTACAAAAATGTATTATGCTTAATTTTCAGCAATGAAAATAAACAACTAATGAACATGCTTCAAGTATTTAAAAAGCAATTACTTGCTGTTGAAGTCCTTGATATTTTTCTAATTCTTTTTTTAATTCTTCTGAGTACCATTTTTCTTCCTAATGAAAAAGATTTTTTAATTAGTAAATTTTAAGAGAATTTTTAACTGAAACACACACACACACACACACACACACACACACACACACAAAGAAGTGGAGTCATATTTATTATTACCTTAAGTGAAGCCTGTAGATCTTGGACCTCTTGTCTCAGTAGTGTTATATCATCTCTAAATATGTGGGGTTGGGGGGATTAATAGTTAGTGTACTTTATTTTATAACCTGTTTCCTCAACTATTCATTATATAATAATAAGTAGTTTATATAATAATAAGTAGTTTTGCAATCTTTAAAAAGAACTACAAAAGAATTTATGTATAATGACAAATATATAAATCCCTTAGAAAAATAATTTTATGCCTAAAGCTCATTGTTTATAAATGGGAAAATATTTCCTTGTGGAAATAATCATATTACTGATTGTCAAATGCCTGAAGCAGAAGTAAAAGGTCTTCTATTAATTTACCAACAATAAGTATCAATGGCTTCCTGGTGCAGTTAGCATGAAATCTAAAGTCATTAAGAAAGTCTATAAAAGTCTATAAAAGTCAGTAAAATCTTAAAACTCTCCCCTTCATTTACTCAGCTCTAGCAACATTGGCTTATTCCTGTTCCTTGAGTGTCACATGCTCTTTCCTGCTAAGAACCTTCTCACATTCTGTTCCCCTCATCCAAGGCTCTGAGAAAGAATGGTAAGCAAACCGTAAYGCTAGGCCCTAATGCAGGAGAGAAATTCCATGAGAAAACACACTTAGGATTATTATTCTTCATGTCAAGGACATATCTTCCCCTGTARGAATTTAAACAGTAGAAAATGCAACTCTCCTCACTCCATGCCGCTTACCATTGGCAGYTCTGATAAAAGATACAAGAACTGAAATGGGAACAGGAGTAGAAATATCAAATGAATTGATTCTAATCTAAAGCAAATAGAAGAACATGGCCAATTCTAATGATRGGAAAAGTCAAGATCACTCCAACACAAGTAAAAGATATTAACAAGGTGAAAGATAATGAAATAGACTGATGAGAGAATTATATGCTAGAATAGGGGTGGGAGTAAAAGGTAAAAGGACAGCYTCATCTGTGAAGAAGGGCTTAATAGCAGAAAGGAAGGAAACTGCCAACAGAGGAAATATAAAGCATGAAGAAATTAGTCCTCTACCTTTATAGTCATTCATATATAAAGAATTCATTCATTATTCAACAGGCGTGTGTTGTCTGTGCTAGAATCTCAAGTTGTTCAGTCTAATGGGGGAAGTAAACACGTAAACAAGTAAGTGTGGTATAATAGAAATAAAAACAGAAGCTCACAGACAGTGGTCACTTCCACCTAGAAGACTCAAGAAGGGCTCCTTGATGGAGAGAAACATTGATGTGAGGTCTTTCATCTTCTGACTACCAAAATAAAATCTAATCATAGTTTTCTGCTACTTTTGTTGACTTTCTGTATATTTTTTATTTGTTTTCATTTCTCTGGTGTTTGTTTAGTTGTGCGTGTGTATGGGTATAGCCAGCCTTCCCTCTCTCTCATGTGGTTCTATGAATAATGTGATTTATAGAAACCACAGGTCAACCACATGTCATTTATACATGACTTAAGTGTCTTACWGTTGTGTAAATATGTGTGTTTTAAGTCTTCTCTATTATTCACTAATCTCCTAACTCTACACATAAACTAAAATGATAAAAGAATTAATAACAGTATTTGTACTATATATGTATCAAGTATASCTACATTTCAAAATCCTCTCTAAAAAGCTCATTAATACATCAGGTTTCAGATATTTTATCAATATGCTGAATGGCTCAGGTTAAAATTTAATGAAAGACTAAGAAAAATAATTCTGTGGGCCTAGTCACTCCAATTAATCTTTTTTAAAARTACCACTTCAACAATTTTTTTAAAGTAATTTACGAACAAAAGTCAATCTTTCAAAATGTGTAACATATCAAAAAACCCTAGTAGCTAGATGCAGTAGAACACACCTATAACCCCTGATGCTTAGGAGGACGAGGCAGAAGGATCTTAAGTTCAAGGCCAGCCTGGGCAACAAGTGAAACCTGTCTCAAAATAAAAATAAAGAAAGGTCTGGGGAGGTAGCTTAGTGTTTACCTACTACATGCAATATCCTGAGTTTCTCGGTACCACAAATGATAATAATAATAAATAAATACWGCAAAAGACAATTTGGGAATATCTAAGTTTTAAAAGAAAACTTCATTTAAAAATTCCACTTTCAGAAATTTATTTTGCATATATATTCAAACTGCACATAATATCTCTACCATACATAATTCAACATTATATGTAATTCAAAAACACTGAAAATATCCTAGATCAAMGGGAGAATGATAAAGTTCCATACTACCATTAAAAAGAATTAGATGGCTCTATCCATAAGACAGAGAGAAACAAAAGGTATAGTGCAATGTAGAACCTCTATTTTTTATGTAAAGATATTTATTTATATACATATATTTATTCATATGTACATAGATATAAGCATATGTATAGACTCTGTCTGGATGAATATAAAAGAAACTGAATAAGAGAACTGGGAAAAGGGGTACAAGGGCTTAATTTTCACCTTAGGACTTCTTGAACCATTTAAATTTGGTACTATGTATATATCAACTATATATACATTTAATACATTAATGTAGCAGGTTTTAGTATTTTATCAATACTAATGTAATTTACATGTAAACTGATAAACAGCTTTAAAGCAAAAAAGGTTATGTGACCCACTTAAGTCATGTGAACTACATATCCTGCCCATAGCTATACGTTATCCAATGTGTTATGGAAAGGTAGCAGTTCACCAAAAACTTAAGAGRTATAGGAAGAAGAGAACAAGAAATAAGGTAAGAGATAAACCTGGGAAAGTACACAGTATATATCCCATAAGTAATGAAAAAGTTTCTTTTTAGAGCAACAACAATCAAATTTGCATTTTAAGAATACAATTCTCCAACAATTTGAAGAATTAATTATAGGGGTAAAAACTAAAGCCAACTATATATACTGAAAATATTTCTCAGTGAGACATAAGTCCTAAAATAAGCTGTAGCAGTGAGGATGGAAAAGGATATAAAACCTGTTAAGGAAAAAGAATGATTGAATTTTGAGACACTTCACAAAAATGATGAAGGAGAGCAGGGATAGGTATGTAAAAATGAACACACCCAATTTTCTGGCTTTAGTAACTGGGTAGACAAATAATGTTGCCATTCACCAGAACAAGTAACAGCACACAAGAAGCAGRTTCAGAAGGAAATGCCATCAACTGTTTTCAAAATGTCACAGTGAGATGCTTTGGGGACATCTAAGGGAAGACAGCTACTAGGCAATTTGGGAGATAATTCTAGGTTGGAGAWGCAGTTTAGTAGAAAGTTATGGATGTGAAATTACCACAGGTGGATGACATACAGGAAGAACGGCACATAAAACAGGTAAACAAAGAATGATTACAATATTAAGTTGTCTCAGAAGTTTAGAAGAAAAAGGAACTAGCAGAGTCAATTTTTGCTAAGGTTGCAGTAATCTACAAAGATGACTACCACTGAATTCTTGCATTCCTAGACACATCTACTGCTCCATTGAAAGATGAAGGTTACTTCTTGGCCTCTTGAATCTGAACTAGCCCTATGACTACTTTTACCTACAGAATATGGCAGAAATGATGCTCTGACAGTTTTGAATCAGGCCTAAAGAAGAGTGGCAGCTTCTACTTCTTTCATAATAAAATGTTCTTTCTTGGAACCCAACTGYCCGTCTGTAACTTTAAGAAACCATAGACAGGTCATAATGAAGGAAATTAAGGACTCTGGCCCCAGCTGAGCTCCCACCAGCCAATATTCAGCACCAACCATCAGTCATGTGAGGTCATTTTGGACCTTCTTGACTTCCTGCCACGTCTACCTCACTTATCTCAGAAGAACCATTCAATCAACCCAGAGCTATGAGAAGTAATGAACTATTAAAGAAAGAAAAAGTTCATGTACAGTATTAGACTTCATCTAAATCACAGCTGAAAAAGCAACTCTGAGCCAGGTGTGGTACATGCCTGTAATCCCAGCATCTCAGAAGGCTAAGGCAGGAGGATCTTAAGTTCAAAGCCAACCTCAGCAAAAGCAAGGCATTAAGTGACTCAGGGAGACCCTGTCTCTAAATTTAAAAAAATACAAACTAGGGCTGGAGATGTGGCTCAGTAGTTGAGTGCCCCCTGAGTTCAATCCCTGGTACCTAACCTCCCCCCCACCAAAAAAAGCAACTCTGTTGAATTTATATTAAATATAAAAACATTTATAATGTGATTTAATATAACTACATATTTTATCTATTTTCYAACAAATGACAAAATATAGCAACCAAAATCATTAACTTACACGTAAAAGCACCAAAGTATATTAATAATAACCACAAAGTTATGTAGCCAGAATACTTTTCCTTTGTTTAGTATTCTTTGTGTTATATCAGTGTAATTCACAAAGAATTTTTTTAAGAAAAGCTTAAAAAATATTTTTTACAAGTAGAATGAAATGATCCTTATTCCTYAGTTGGTATAAAAGACAATAGCAGAAGAAAAAAAAAGTCATATTGATGAATGCTATTCTAAGTAGCTATATATTTTGGTCTAATTTTAGTTCTCAAAATGGTTAAGTAAAATTGCCAAGAAGCATAATGTGTAAGTGCTTATTATTATACTGGTGATTAAATATTTATTTTTAAAATTCAAATGAAAGTGTAGGGGATTTTTTTTTTTTGGCAGGGGGTGGTAATCGGGGATTTAACTCTCTCACCCACTGAGCCACATCCCCAGCCCTATTTTTCGTATTTTATTTAGAGACAGAGACTCACTAAATTTTAATTCTTACCTAAATTATTTTATCAACTTACTATAAAATCATCTAAACAAAGCATATCATTCTTTACTGAACAGAATATACCAAATATAACTCAATCTTCTTTTGCTAATTTGGAATCTTCATTAAAGCCATAACCTCTATACCATTTTGCAGATGCTGGTATAGCTAGCTAGCTGCTGGTCACAGACTGAATAGGTCATAATGACAAGAGAGAAGGCAATGCTGAGGACAGATTTAAATTAAATAATATGACAACATCATTATTTTTAGAAACTAATCATAACTAAACAATGATATCACMTGCACATTCCATAACAATATTACACTTTGCAACTATCATACCATACCGCTTCAAAGCAAGATTGGCCTCTCCTCCATGACTTGCGTCATTACCAGCATCATGAACTGCCTGATAGTGTTCGAAAAGTTCATCAGCCGATCCAAGAGATTTCATACACTGGGGACATATGAAGCCCTATAGAAAGAGGCAGAAAAGGTACAAAATGGTTTTTAATATTGTAAAATAATATTTTGCATATTATGAAATAAAGTCAAATATCTTATTCATACTAATGGAGAGATTAATTAAGTTGTAATTTATGGTATTAGCCCAAATGCTGGTATCATTCATGGTGTCACTGTATATTCTTGTTGAAGTTTACAAAATAAAAATAAATCCTTGCAACCATATTTTAGGTTGAATAACTAAATGGCCAGAGCACTGAATTCTAATCTAAGAAGTTTGTTCTAATCTAGATTAGTTGAAATATATATTTTCTCTCTCTAGATATCCCCATTATTAAAATAATATGTGCTCTAATCTACTTTACAGAAATGCTACCAAAAAAATTAAGATGTAGTATATCATCACTAATGGGAAGAAAAGGTAATATAGTAAATCATTCATAATTTGCACAGAGTTTAAATATCTACAATGATAGAGAATTATTTTAGTTAGTAAATTTCCATAATAACCTAAGATTAAAACAGTAAAAATCTAAAATTAATGGATAGCCCTATGTTATATAAAAATCTTATCATTAATCCCAGAATTATATATGGTTAAGACTATCAACTACAGTAYAATGTTAAAGATGMTGATATAGATCCATGTTTTATAAATTCAGGATTGTAATTCATTAATAAATCATGAAATCAATATACTGGGTTATAATATTTTTAGCTATACTCAACAACAGAATAGTTTATCTTATGTGGTAAGGGTAATATTATCTTATTAAGTTTTGTTTTGAATGATGACCAAAAAGTSATGACCATTTATTACAGTGATTACCATAAAAAATATTTGAGAAGCACTCACATAGAGAGTTRTTAAATGAAAGATATAGGATAGAATAAGTAATAATTATGATTACTTTGTTATTGGTTCTTTTTATTTATACATGACAGTAAAATCAATGTGACATAATTATACAAGTATGAAATATATCTTGTTGTAGTTCAGGTGATTACTTTTTTTTCTTATTGATTCCATACTATTATGCCAAGTATTTTTCCCTATGAAATCTCATTTAAATCCCACCAGTCTTTATTATATAAGTATTATTACCTCCATTTCATAGAAGAAGAAATGAAATCTCAGGAAAGTTAAAGGACTTTGAAAGGTTACAAACCTAACTAAACCAGAGTACTCATAGGTTTACTGGACAAATTCCACATTCTTTCCAAATACTACACTATCTCTTGAACTCCTCAACTTAACCCTTAAAAATTACTTCCTTAAAATAAATTCTTTTRTCTGCTAACTTTCTAGTGGCTTTATTCAACAAATACTTTTTATCAATTCGAGTGTTATAGTATTTCACTGGAAGATACAAATGATAGAGTCTCAGTTTTCAAAGAACTGAGAAGACAGAGTATATACACATGAAAAAAATATCTTTATATGAAATCAAAWTAATGACTAAACAGCATGAAAGCTTACATTTTATGGGTATCTGATGACAAAATATATTACCAAGCCAAGGACAAAATAACTTTCTCTCAAACTTTCTGTTGACTTCATAGAAAATTATTCACTTGACTTCTACATCTTTCATATTTTTAGTATTCCAAATATTACCCAATACTTCAGTCTAATTAATCCAATATACAATAGAAATTTTTCAACCTTAAATTTCTCTTTAAATTAACTGMATTCAAAACTTTTTAAAGATAATAAAGAAATAGTTTCCTATATTTTTTGCACACACACTGTCCACACTAACGGGTTTGAGGAGGGCTAACTCCACACTCTTATTTTTAAAAAAAAATTATAATAGTTCTGAAAACTTCCAAGAGTCCATAAGCAGATTATTTTTCACCCCAATTCTCAAAAATATCCTCATCCAATCTATTTTGCAGGAGTATATCATAAGCTAAATATTTAGGTTCATTCACTAAATTAAAGTTGAAATAGTGATTAGCAAAAACCGGTGACTTTATTACAGATATGATTCTGCTAAATCACGGTGACAAGAAATAAACTTATTTTGCTTTCATCAAGTATACAATTCTAGCTAGCCAAGAACCTTCCATAGAAGTTTTCTGGCTCTATATATCCAACAACATACAAGCTCTACCTGCATCTCATAGGCACTCAATACAATAAATCAAAAGATTCAACTCATTTCCCAAACCTCCTCTTCTCACTAACACCAACTTTCAACTGAACTCAAAATCATGCTGAACTACTCTTCTTTCTGTCTCATTTCTAATAAAATGCTAAGCCTAAACATTCCTCTTTCCCATTTTTTCATTTCAATGCTTACTGCAGTTGGCCTTGTTCAGACACTCATTATCTCATGTCAACACTATTGCAATAACATTCCAGAAAGTGCTACTAAACCTAGTCTCCCTTCTCCCTAATGAATTTTCCAACCAGCTGTCAGAGGAATCTTTCTAAAATAGATTCCTCAATATTATTCACTAATCTTTACCATCAATATGGCATACAAGTACCTGCATGATCATTCTCCTAATGACATTTGCAGTCTAAAGTCTAGATACCTCTCAATCTATACAATATGCTTTAACAATACTAAAGTACCTGTGTTTCCCTGCACTCACCATGGTATTACAAATTTCTGTGTCTTTTGCATATATTGCTTTTTTCTCTGGCAACCATTAGCTTGTCAAATTCCTTCACTCTAATACACAACACATTGGATCTTTTCATCTATATTTCCCTAATGGCTAAGATAATGCCTTCAGCATAATATGTATTTTCTACATTGTATATTTGTTTACTGAAGTATGCATGAACCTGGCAATTCCAAACTTGGTGAAAAAGCAGAAGATCTTTAAAAGCTTACAGATTACAAACCTTCTAAKAACAGGCCTTCATTTTCCAAGGCCAGTATGTCCTCTAGTTCATGAGCTTCAAACAAAAAGGAAAGGGAATAAGAAGGGGGACTTCAWACCAGGGCTTCTACAAGGCAGACTGCGCACAAATCGACCAGTAGAAAAGCACCCAGGCAACAACTGGCTATAAAACTTGCTCCCAAGAATGYACCCTCTATTGGAGGGCTGAAGAAATCTCATCAACACAGGCCTGGTACTGTGGCACTCTGTAAAATGAGACTTTTCAGAATTCCACTGAACTTCTAATTTGCAAACTCCCCTTCCAGAGTCTGGTGCAAGAAATGTTTCAGGATTTCAAGGATTTCAAAACAGATCTGCACTTCTAGGGCAAAGCTACTGATGCTCTGCAGGAGAAAAGTGAGACCTATCTGGTTGGCATTTTTGAAGACAACAACCTGTGTACTACTATCCATGCCATATGTGTAACATTTATGCCAAAAGACACACAACTATCACATAACATACTTGGAGAATGTGCTTAAAAACCAATATGATAAGAAATATTTCAATCCCCCAAAAACTGTTTTTCTCTTCTTCCTCTTAYTGGTAAATTTGAAGGTAGGTTCCCCACTATCCCCACTTGGGGTCAAGAGGTACCTGAGTATATGACTGTACCTGGAAAACAGGGTCAGAAATCAGGTATTGGTCCTAAAGACTTAAAAATAGTATACTACAGTGATGCAGCCACTCCAATGTTTACAGCAGCACAATTCACAGTTGCTAAACTGTGGAAGCAACCTAGATGCCCTTCTACAGATGAATGGATAAAGAAACTGTGGTACATATACACAATAGAATATTATTCAGTATTAAAAGAGAATAAAATTACGACATTTGCAGGTAAATGRATGGAGTTGAAGAATATCATGCTAAGCAAAATAAGTTAATCTCAAAAATCAGAGACTGAATGTTTTCTCTGATAAGTGGATGCTAATACATAGGAGGGGAACATGGGATAAGTGCAGGAACTTTGGATGGGGCAWAGTGGAGGGGGGCAGGGGGTAGGAAAGACAGTGAAATGAGACAGACATCACTACCCTRGGTACATGTATGATTGCACAAATGGTGTGACTCTCATTCATGCACAACCAGAGAATTAAAAAATTCTGCTCCATTTGTCAAAGAGCTTTCTGCTGTCATGTAAAACTGACTAGAACTAATAGATAGATAGATAAATAGATAGATAAGAAATCAGGTATTGGCAGTTTTTCCTCTGATTTTTATTTGTGATTTTTAATACAAATTCAAGAATTAAAGAATTAATRCAAGTCAAAATATTTCAGTGAACAAGCTGAAGCAGTTCAACTTTATAACAATAAAAAAAAACCTGTCAAATTTTTTCAATAATGCCAGCAATTGGATTTTTTTTTTAAAAAAAAAAAAAAGCAGATTTCTTACTGATGGTAACTAAATGGTGTTTGTAGCATTTTTTTTTATACTAAATTCTGTCCACTCACTATACTTTTGAGTTGACCTACATGCAAGTATATGTTTTTAGTGTTGCCTGTCTTCTGTGTTATATCTGTAAGTTTGCTATTAAAATATAATAAACTATTTTTAAAAACTTCTAAGAACAAAATGAGCCTAAACAATAAGAATAATGCATACATTCTCTATCATTTATGCATAGCAGATGGCAGAATCAAGGGTCAATGATGTTGGGAGATACTGACTATAAATATTGCCAGACAATGTTACAATACAGGTCTATTAAAGAACTATGGGAACACAGGAGATGAGGTATCTAACTCCACCTATGGCACCAGTTAATGCTTTATTAAAAAAAAATACAGACACATATGTATATATATATATATATATATATATATATATATATATTATGTATTTCATCTCTATCCTCACTGCAGCTGCATATTGTATGCATGTGTGTACACATATGTAAATACATGTATATATGAGACTTTGGAATTAAGTACTAAAGAATAAGCAGGAGTTTACCCACCAGAGTAAAACAAAGGCATTCTAAAGAAATGAAAATCATGGGCTGGGGATGTGGCTCAAGCGGTAGCTTGCTCGCCTGGCATGCGTGCGGCCCGGGATCAATCCTCAGCACCACATACAAACAAAGATGTTGTGTCCGCCAAAAACTAAAAAATAAATATTAAAAAATTCTCTCTCTCTCTCTCTCTCTCTCTCTCTCTCTCTCTCTCTCTCTCTCCCCTCTCTCACTCTCTCTTAAAAAAAAAGAAATGAAAATCATTAGTGAAGATACAGAAAGTGCTAAGAAAGATGTCATGCTTATTTGTGAAAGAGAAGTGCTTCTAGGTGTGCTTTGATCACAGAACCAGATTGAAGGGCAGAATCACAAAACACGTGAATAAATGTTGTTGTTGTTTTTCCCCTAGCTATATCTAAGGAGGCCAAGGTTGCTAGAAAAATAAATTCCAGAGAGGGACTGTTAGTTAACCATAAATTATAAAAACTAGCCAGCTACATTTATTTCCCTTAATCATTCCAAATTTGTCACCAACTTCCAAAAAACATAACTTACTTAAAATTATTAAATACCTTACTCTTAAGAATTCAGTTGTCTGTAATCCTTTCTCAGATCCAACGTAGCTGAAAATTTACCTTAACTTGATACTTAAGATATTTCTGTTGAACCAAGTGCCCTTTTAATTACAAAAAAACTCCTAATAAAGTGACAAGTGGATRAGATTGTTACTTTTGATGTTGGCTAATCCATAAAGAAAAAAGTTGACCCACATGTACAAGAAGACAACCAGTAACATACTAAACAGTTTTCCAAGAATCTGTTATGCCTCCATCTTTACTTGCACTATTCTGACTGGTTTAATCAGGTATCATCCTATATGCACCCATTATTCCCAATGCCCAAGAGAMTATCTGGTTTAATTGTTCCCCTGTGAAGTTCTTTCTTAGTTCCCCTCATGTTGAATTAACCATTATTCTCTTTTTGCAAATAATATCTATTATAAAAATGTACTGGAGTAGCAACAATATCTTACTTACCTTTTTCTCTTTTTCACCAAAATACCTGCTACATGAAAGGTACTCCATTAATATGTTAAATAAGTGAGTTGTGAGATTGTTTTCTTATATACATAATTGCTTCATGGAAAAAGGGTAAGTCATAATTTTAGTCTTTCATGGTCTTTCATTCTTTTATAAGATTTGTAAAATAATCAAAAAGCAGTTTCTCTGCTTTTACAATTTTTATATTAACATAGTGATTTTCAAAGGAGACAGATATATCGGGATCATCTGAGAAATTCCTTCCAGCCTAATTCCTCCACCTCACTTGCTCCCATCCTCAGCTTTAGAATGTGCACCAGCACCACACTACTGAAAAGTATTCTTTGGATGATCTACTGTTACTGATGAGAGGGTATCATTCTGTTACCTCCCTTAAGTGTGGAGAGTTAAAACAAAGATTGAGAAAGTCTTAGACTCAGATTTATATTTTCCTGTATATTTTCCCAAATAGAGACAATGACTGTTCATATGCAAAGTATTCTTTCAATGAAGAGTGAGTGTTTTAACCTAAAACATTTTAATGATTCATTAATAAAATACTAACAAAATAATAAAGATAATTTATAAATGTTGAAATAATATTCACTTTATATGTCAATTTCATTGCAAAATTTATGCCAAAATATTAAACTTTTATATTTATTTATAAGCTCACAAAAAGACAGATGCAAACAGTAGGAAAAAACAAGCAGACTACCCAAGAGAGCTCTTTTCTTTATAGAATCTTCCTTTAAGCATGCATAATTAAAGCAATTCATATCCCCTTGTAGCATAAAAAGGAACCAACACCTAGGCAGGGAAAAACAAAGCTATTTTAAGCAACCCATAACCAAGCTGCTAAAACAAAATATACAGGACCCACAGTAACACTGGAGTCATTAAGAAGTTCCTGTCCTCTTGTTTCATTTTCAGCGTGCACTTTCTGGTAATGCTCCGACAAATCAATAGCAGTTATACATCTTTTCATACATAATGGGCAGATGAAACCCTGTGAAATAACAACTTTTAGAAGGATTACATTAAAAGTTTTCTTTTTTAAACATATAAAACAAACAACACAAATAGATAAAATAGGAGAAATAATGAGTATCTCTCTTTAGTATATATAAGGGAAACTCCCAAGCATTAACTGTACAAAAGGTAAAAGATCTATCCAAAGAAGGAYTTCTATAATTAGTTTCCATCCTCACACTCTAAACTTTCATTGGTTCTTTTTTTTTTTTCTTTTTTGTTATGGTAGCCAGTTTTTATGGTTGGATTATTATTTTGTTTATGGCACTTTAAAAAATTTTAAAATTCATTTTGTTTATGATACTTTGTTACTTACTTATCTGAGACCTACTAGCAAGTTAGCTTTTATTTTTTATTTTAGATCAAGAAATTACTGGCAGATACAACAAATATCTTTTTATGACACAATGTTCTGAACAAAGAAATCCTTTTGATGAAAGCAATTTTCAGTCTTYACCATATTCTAGTAGCCCAAGATCCCATTTTTTTCCATATCTAATACCCAGAAGATGATCATTCCTTCAAATTTTCTGAATCAAGTAAACCATTTTTAAAAAATTTCTCAAATTGCCTATACCTAACAATGTTTATCTTTTAAAAATATGGGCTATTACACTGACCCCATGGCTTAAGATTTTGTGAGATAAGAATAGTAAGATGCCAGACATGTGATGCACACCTGTAATCCCAGCTACTGGAGAGACAGAGAGAGGCAGGAGTATAACAAGTTCAAGGCCAGCCTAGGAAACTTAGCAAGACCCTGCCTCAAAATTTAAAAAAAAAAAAATACAAAGAGCTAGGGATGTAGTTCAATGGTGCAGCACTTGCTTAGCGTGCACAAGGCTCTGAATTCAATTCCCAGTATTGAAAAAAAAATTAAAACTAAATCAAAAYACATCAATAACAAAACAACTCAAGTGGGTTCTCCCAGTTAAAGGACAAGTTATATGCTGTTAATAAAAAAAAAAAAAAGAAGAAGAAGAAGAGAAATCCAAAAAGGGAAGGGCAAAAAATATTGAAAATGGAAAGATAAAAAAAGTTATTCAAAATACTAGTCAAAAGAAAGCTAATGTCTTTCCATTATTATTAGCACAATGACAAAAGCTCTAATTCAGAAAAAAAAGATAAAAGATCTAAGAAAGGACATGAAAACTGTGACTATAAATAATGTATTAGCAAAGTTTGGCTCTGAAGCAAATGAAAAGGGAATTTCAGGTCAAAGGAAGGGTTTTGTGTTTTGTTTTGTTTTTTCCACTTTTTACTTTTTTAGTAGTCTTGTCTTGTTTCATATGTATTGTACTGAACATATATATGCTGATAGATATGCTGATAGAAAACTGTAAGCTGATAGGAATAATTCACAGTACAAGCTAAAAGCTAAATTGGCAGAAGAGAGATGATAAGAACGAGAYAGAATAGAATGGTGGGGGGTGGGGGATAAGAATGGAATCCAGAGCACTAGGGAAAAGAATAAAATCTGATAGGCAAAGGGAACTGCCTTCTATGAACTAAAATAAGAAAGGATAGTTTTATCGATAAAACAAGGAGATTTATCTTATGGTTCCTATTTTCTTGATGTTATGAAGATACCTGGGGGAAGGTAAGAAGAGGGTAAAAGACCTAGGAAACTTGAGGATAAAGAAGGTACAAAATAACTATCTCAAAAAGTAGGAAAACATCCCTACTAAGACACTAAAACAGTACTACCAAGCCAAGTGCTGCTTGATAGCAATACCCATTGGAAATGCTCTTTTTGGTTTTGGGGGGTTGGGTTGAGTTGGGTTAAGTTGGGTTGGGTTGGATTTTAGGTTCTTTTTTKATCTGACTGAAGTTAACAGTTATAATTAGATTCTTTCCTGGAACAAAACTGAACACTTTAAGGCCATCATATCATCAATATAGTTTGGAAATTTTTTCTTAAAAGAGTTGGGGATATAACTCAAAAGTACAGCACTTTGCCTAGTGTGTGCAAGGCCCTAGGTTCAATCACCAGCACCACAAAAAAAAAAAAAAAAAATCTTAAACTTGCTGTTAATAAAATTCAAGTGACACTTTTCTTACTCTCACACTCCTAAAAATCTTATTATGGTTACTACACATATACATAAAAATAGATGATCAGAGAAACAAAACAGAGATATGACAGAGAGAAAGACAAACCCAGAAACACACATGAGATAGAAAGACTAGACAACCAAGTGAAAAAGGACAGAACAAAGAGTCTGGATGGGGGTTTTAACTAGGCCCAGAAGGAGTAACAGACAAAAACTATCAGAGCAAATAGTGAGTGTGTTGATCTGTTGGTGGCAGGGGTAACTTCTGAGTTCTCTTTCCTATCTCCTTTTTCTATAATAAACAAATATTGCTTATTTATTTAAAATAAAAATAATAAATGAAATCACAGGGACTAAATTTTTTAAATTGAGGTTATCTTTTTAAAAAGGTATATTTTCCACTAGTTTCTTAATAAAGCTATCAAAATTATTACAAAGCCATAAGTGAAAACAAAATAATTGTAAGCTTTACAAATACCTACTTTTTCATTAGCTAAATACTTCTTGACAACACACATACACAAAGAGACATGAATTAACTAGCAGTTCTTTATAAACAGACTAAAATTAATTCATTTAATTGAGATGACATCAGCATGAAAGACAAATTGCCAATATTATTTTTCAAAGTCTTAACTTATATTTTCTCAACCTCAACTAAACACAAGTATATATCTATGATTCAAAAGTCACATTCTAAAAAAAAAAAAGTCACATTGTCACATTCTAATTTGTAGAACTCTTCCTACACAGACAATTCATCAATCTGTACTACAAATATTTGATAATTTTCCCTTGAATAATAGTGAATTGTATTGCCATTTTCATACCTCTGAAGAGCTTTCATTATTGACATCCACTGTGTTTATAGGAGTTGCTGATGAATCTAAATCAGAACCTTGAGAGCCAACTCTCCCAGGAGTCTGAAACAAAGAGGAGAGGAAGAAACCAAAGCAGATATTAACAACACATTCAAAGCCATGTAATAATATAAACCTTTTCATATAAAGAATAGTAGCTGTCTTCAAAATAATACCAAACAGAATTAATAGTATCTTTTATGGAAGACCATGTCTAATACCATGTGTATTAAGATCTATATTCATTTTTTGTCTTTTAAGTTTATAAAGTTTACTTTTGAATATAATGTTTTATAGGCTTCAATCCACTCCCACAAACATTCAGTTTTTGTTTTGTTTTGTTTGTTTTGTTTTAGGTTYTTTTTTGGTCTGACCAAAGTTAATCATTATAACATCTCTTAGAAAGGTAAGACATATGTTATCTCTACAGAGGAGAAAACAAATTTAAAGCAGCTAAGTAACTTCTTAATGATTACATTGATAACAACAACTACAATAAAAAACAGAACAAAAAAGCCGAACTAAAATGCTGATCTTCTGATTCCTCTTGCAATATTTTCTTTACAACACAAACTCAAACTACAATTATTTGAGGAGTGCTAAAAAAAAAAAAAAAAAAAACCAGCCCCAAATATCTAGCCACCCATTCACCTACCACTCAGGTCATCCAGTACCAGTGTGTCTCTAATACTTGATATGGCACCACCAAGACACATTTTGGAGCATTAAAATATCTTTTTTTCCCTCCTACTAGCATTTATCATCTAGCATTATCTTTTGTTAATACCTAGCTGTTATTTTAAGTGAATTTTACATCTAGTTAAAACATGCCTAAGAAGAGACCCATTGCACAAGAACCGAATCAATAATCCTCATCAAAAATACATGTATAGGGCCAGGGTAGTGGCTCAGTGGTAGAACACTTGCTTAGCATGTGTGAGGCACTGGGTTCGATTCTCAGCACCACGTATAAATAAATGAATAAAATTAAGGTTCATCAACATATAAAATATATATTTTTWAAAAAATACATGTTACAGCCAGGTGTGGAATGCACACCTGTCATCCCAGCAGCTCAGGAAGCTGAGACAGGAGGATCACGAGTTCAAAGCCAGCCTTAACAAAAGCGAAGCATTAAGCAACTTAGTGAGACCCTGTCTCTAAAAAAAATACAAAATAGGGCTAGGGATGTGGCTCAGTGGTTGAGAGTCCTGTGTTCAATCCCTGGTACCCCCCCCCAAAAAAATACATATTACATGTTAGCATGATTATTACTTTACACATGGGAAAACAAAAGCATAGAGACTGGGGCTGGGGTTGTGGMTCAGTGGTAGAAGCACTTGCCTCACAGCATGAGGCACTGGGTTTGATCCCCAGCACCACATAAAAATAAATTAAATAAAGATAGTGTATCCATCTACAAATAAAAATATATTTTAAAAAAAGCAAAGAGATTGCCCAAAGTCATATGGTCATGTGGCTAATAAATGTAAGAAAGAGTTTTTAATTTTATCAATGCGGTTCTTTGGTGGTGGTGGGGACGGGACGGGACAATGACTGGTAACAGGGATTGAACTCAGGAGCACTCAACCACTGAGTCACATCCCCAGCCCTATTTTATATCTTATTTAAAGACAGGGTCTCAGTGAGTTGCTTGGCACCTCACTGTTGCTGAGACTGGCTTTGAACTCCAGATCCTCCTGCCTCAGCCTCCCAAGCCACTGGGATTACAGGTGTGCACCACCACACCTGACTTAATTCTAGCAGTGTGGTTCTTAATCACTGATATATACTGCTTCCCTGCTAGACATCCATCTCCACTGAAATGCACCTCAGGCACCCAAGATTGAGAACAACTCATTATACATGTGCCTCAACACACAAGCACCCTGCATATCACCATTAAAGAGTCAACCTAGGGGCTGGGGATGTGGCTCAAGCGGTAGCGCGCTCGCCTGGCATGCGTGCGGCCCGGGTTCGATCCTCAGCACCACATACAAACAAAGATGTTGTGTCCGCCAATAACTAATAAATAAATAAATATTTAAAAAAAAAAAAGAGTCAACCTAAATGCCAAATAGTAATGAGCTGATACTATTTTAAATTGATCAATTAATGATTACTAAAATTACATTAAAAAGAAAATATGCATGCTATAGTTACATTAAAAACTGTATAAAAAAAATAAGACTTGTCACATTTGGTATAGCATGCCTGTAGTTCCAGCTACTTGAGAGGCTGAAGCAGGATTACAAGTTTGAAGACAGCCTGGGCAATTTATTAATAAGACCTTGCCTCAAAAAATAATTTTTAAAATCCATATTAAAAAAAGAGATGGAGGCCAGGTGCAGTGGCTCACACCTGTAATCCCAGCAGCTTGGGAGGCTGAGGCAGGAAGATGGTGAATTCAAAGCCAGCCTCAGAAACTTAGTGAGGCCTTAAGCAACTCAGCGAGACCCTGTCTCTAAATAAAATACAAAATCGGGCTGGGGATGTGGCTCAGTGGTTAAGCACCCCTGGGTTCAACCCCTAGTACCAAAAAATGAGATGGGGAATATAGGTCAGGGTTCAATCCCCAGTATCAGYGGGACAGTTGGGTAAAGGACCAGTAAGTAAAGTTCCAAAATGCAAATAATGATGTCTATAGTGAAACAAGATTATAAGGGTTATGAGGTTTGGGCTTTCCATTTTTGTTTTGCTATACTTTCTTTTCAGAAATTAAATCACAGTTAAATTATTTCAATATTAAAAAAGTTTTATATTTATAAGTAAATTGGACAATCCACATGCCTTCAATTTTATTTCCTGAGGCAGATATTTGTTTTGCACATTTATTTATATTTTCTACTTATATTAGTCTTTTATAAATTGAGAAATTGGGAAGAGTAGAAAATAACAGCAGGTAATTAAAGTGACAAGGAAACCCAAACTCYTTTTAAACATATTCCCTTCAAAGGAGGATATAAGATTAATTTAAATACTTATTTTATATCCTGGGAAGAGAGAAGATGAACTAAGCATGCCAAGATAACAAGGGAGAAATTAAATGACCTTGAACTTCTTTTAAAGTGGAGGTTGAACATTCCCAATCTAAAATGCTCCAAAATCTGAAACT